TTTCATTTAAAAAGATCAGCCCCTTGGTCCTGCAATCAGCTCCATATGTACTGACCCTCTCAGAGATCTGTCCACTCCAATGCAATTTCAACATCTGTCCTTAAATGTGAGATGTTCAACAGTTCCCGATTCAGCTTTTACATTGGAAAATGAGCTAAAAGAAGCTGTAAGGTCCACAAGCTACCACTTGCCATGACAGATAGGGAAGAGAATGCTTAACGCTGATTTTTTTCTCTGTTACCTTCTTATCCGTCACCCTGCTTCACCCATTATGCCTTCTTCACCTATCCTCCCCCAGGGCTGCCTCACGTATCCTTAGCAGAAGATGCATAACAGGTTAGCAGATCAAGAGTATGTTAACTTAATTGCTGCCATCCATGCCTTATAGACCTCAATATATTATTTCAACAAAATAATTAAAGTGGTTTGAGGCAATAATATGCATCTTGATCTATGCATCTCATCCAGAGCTTAAATGCCTTTTTTTTATTCCTTCTATACTGGCTAATACCCTGATTTTGCAAGGTGAGAAAAGCAGGTAATTATTGCTGAATGAAGCACTCTGGACTGGGACATGCAGCCAAAGGGCCTTCATGAAACTTGCAGCTGGACAGGAGCAAGTGCTGCCATTCACTTCTGTCTGGGATGACCTTGCAAATTTTTTTCTTTTATTGATAGGAAAGAGGACAAATTTCTTCTCTAGGTCTCTATTAATCTGTCTAGCTATGAAAGACATTCCACATTTATCTCCAGTTGCTATTGAAAATCTGATTCTTCAGCTTTTACTAAAACCCCTGTGGCTAGGGATACCTTCTTCCTCTGGAAATCACAGTGAATTCAAGAGGCTCTACCCCACAACAGCTCCTGAGGCAGCTGCAAAGCAAGTGACTGCTCCTGAGAGGTAGTTAAAGCACTCAAGTGAGCCTCCAGCTCTGAATTGTCTCTCTAACCTGGCAAAATAGGTTCATTTGTGGCATTTTTTGGTGGAGCGATAAACTTTGCCACCTACCTTCTGCAGTGCCAGTACTGCATTAGGGTTGCAGCATTTGTACCAAACAGATTTTAAAATAGAGGA